ATGGCAGACAAGGAATCTGCTTTTACAGAAAGTAGGTGTACTGTTAGTTGTCGTTTTATGCCGATGCTCCAGATGAATTATTCTAGTGGGAGACAAGATAAAGACTTATGCTTTGCCTTTTCCTTTTTTATTTTTTTCCTTGTCAATCTTTTCGGCAATCACGGTGGTGAGTGAATCCCAAAAATCACCAAAGTTGGGTTCATCTTCTGCTGGATCCTGTGATTCGCCGGCTAGAGCAGCAAATTCATTTTCATCATGGTCTGGATCTTCCTAGTCTTGACTGCTAGTAACGGATTTCAAGGAGGTGTCATCACTAGAAATAGTCTGGAGAAATTGTTCCTTCATGAAATCCATGCTTTAATGACTAATTCTGTTTCTGACAAATTCGGGTATTTTTGACGTAATTCTGTTTGAATTTGTAAAAAAGGATTTTGAATGACTGGTTGACTGGGAATTGTTTTAGGAATAACATCCCAGCAGGCTTGAGTATGGGCCTTAATTTTCTGGACAATTTCTGGTAAGGTGGGATTCATACACAAAGAAAACTCTCTTGAGACATGGAATCTTATTTTGATAATCACACTGGAAATCCCATTCCCATATCCATGGAATACTGAAATGGATAGTAAAATGAACCAAAGATTTGGTCATAGAAATATCTTTTTGTCCTGGGAAATGAGAATAATCAATTTGTCATTCATTAAAAGCTTCACGGATAGATACTGGTAAAACTTCAAGTTGTAGTCCAAATTTATCCCACCAAACGAGAAACCAATTGGGTAAATCATTTTTGAGGACGTTTGGACAAATTCGGATAAACCAAGAATGATTATGGATATGATTCTGCTAATAAAATGCATAAGTAAAGGCATCGATATAGTTCCAATAACTATATTGAGTTTCTCTGTTGCAAATCTCAAGTTGACGAGTAGTATGCGGGTGAATGCCCCATGTAGCAATGGGCATAATATTACGGATGGTTGTTATTGAATTGGATCGGATTGACAGTCTTGGAAGGATCATGCAAAGTATGCTTGATCTCCATGGCGGCAGTCTCAATGAGTATCTGTTCATAAATATAATAGTACTGGTCAAAATATGAGGTAAATTGTTTGGTCGTAAGATAACGATGTTTAATTTCCCATGGATCTGTCATCCATTTTTCATCTGCTGGTTCAATGTCAAGGACTGTTTATTCAGTAATATTGTTCAGGAGTGAGGAGAACATCCTTGGCGGACTGGCCAGAGGATTCCCCTGGATTACTGTTAGAGGCTTGTAGTGCTGGAAATTTTGTTAGATATGGATTTTGGTAAGGTTTCCCTTGCCCTGGTCCCGACGACCCGGGCCACGACCACTTCTACTGGTCATGATCCTTGCAAATATTCACGAGTTAGAAAGTCGGGTAAGCAATTTTGTTCACCTTTGATAATATCAAAGTCAAATGCAGATAAAGCACTTTGCCAGTTTGCAAATATCTGTTTATGAGCAAGATTAAGAACATCTTTTTTAGATATCTGTTTAGCTGCAGAGTAATCCACACGAATTAGAAATTTTTGGTTTAGCAAATCATCCTGAAATTTTAAAACACATTTAACAATAGCTAAACTTTTTAAATTGTGGGATAATTAAGAGCAGCTTTAGTCCAATTTCCTGATGTAAATCTTAATAGTTTTTATTTTTGACTGGTAGGATTAATCTGTTTTAAAATACCTCCATAACCATAGTTAGAGGCATCAGTTTCTACGATCTTTTGTCATTCTAGATTTGGTAATGCAAGACAGGGAAGTTGTTTTACTTTAGCCTTAATTTTTTGTATGGCACCAGTGTGAGCTTCTGTCCAAGGAGAAGGATTTTTCTGTAATCTAGTGTAAAAGATAGCAGCATCCTGGATTAACTGATGATAGTAGTCTCGAATATAATTGAGACTACCAAGAAACCGCTGTAATTGAGTTTTATTTTTTATCTTATCGGGAAATTTAAAGGCAAACTCAATACTTCTGTCAATTGGTATAATAGTTCCATTATGAATATTATGACCAAGAAAGTGGGTTTGAAAAAGTTTCATTTTTGGTGCAGATATGACTAAACCGTTTCTGATAATAACATGCTTAAATATATTAAGATGCTTTATATACTGATCAATAGATGATGAAAAAATAAGAACATCATCAATATAACAGATAACAAATTCTGTATGTGGAGTAAATATATCATTCATTATATGCTGAAACTCTGATGGAGCATTTTTTAAACCAAATGGCATAACATTCCATTCATAATGCCCAAAGGGTACTGTTAAAGCAGTTTTGTACCGATCCTGTTCAACTATTTATACCTGCCAATATCTTGATTTCAAGTCAAATTTAGAAAATATGACTGTATCCTGTAATCGATCAAGCAAATCTTTTTTATTCGGAATTGGATATCTGATCCACTTTAAAACATCATTAAGAGATTTATAATTAATGACTAATCTTGGCACACCTCTTTCTATTTTTGCATTTTTATTGACATAAAATGCTGTACAACTCCATGGAGAATGACTAGTTCTGATTAACTTCTTTTGAAGAAGATTTTGAATTTCTGTTTTGCACATTTCTGAATATTCTTTTTCCATTTGACTAGGATGAGCTCTGGTTGGGATGAATTTTTCATCAAAGCTCGATTCATAAGGAAGAGAAACTATATGTTTCTTTCTTTCCCAGAAAGCATTGGGAATATCACTGCAAATTTCTATTTGGAATTCTTTTTCAATTATTTTAATTTTTTTTTGTAAAGATGACTGTTGTAATTTCTGCTCAATAATAAGAAAATTGATTTCTGTTTGAAGAAAATTGATATGTTTTTCTTTAAAATTAACTAGATCTTTGATTTGATCTAAGTTTTTAGTATAAGGTTTTGTTATGAACTCAAAAGTAAGGGGTTGTTTACTGATTGTTGTATGAATGCCTATGGAATCAATCTTTGTAATAGGCATTAACAAGCACAAAAATGATGTCCCTAAGATAATACTTTGAGACATATTTCTGATAAAGACAAAAGTAGTGGGAAAACATATGCCTTGATCACAGATGAAAGCTTCTGGTACTTTGTATTTAATTTTCATAGAATTACCACTTGCACTGGTTAATGATTGAGTGGTTTTCTGGAAATATTTAGTAGGAATTAATCATTCTTAAATACAGGTAATATCAGCACCGCTTCCAATTAAGGCGATGGCATCTTTGATAATAAAAGCAGGTCTTCGTATATATAAAAGTGATTCTAATATACCATTTCTGAAAGGTAATCTGGTTCATAAGCATTAAATACTGATTTTTTGGTTTTTCTTAATTTTCCTTCTGTTCTGAAGTTTGCTCTTTATTTTTAAGTTGACTGTTGATTTCCTTGATGTCATTAAAAATAGATTGGTTAGCAGTTTGGACATGCTTTACTTCTGTTTTAAGAATATTAATTTCCATTTTAAGATCTTGAATAGTTATTGGTTTTTCAAGAATCGGGGAGGATTGTATCCTACTCAAAACTTCTTTCACATTGTAGTGTTCTAAAAAAATAACCTCTCCAGTTTTCTGATTGTGATAACATAATTCTAAAAATTTTAATTTCATTTAAGGATCCTTGATCTGGTCTGCTAATTCTAGCATAGATTTCTGGTCATCAGTTAAGACATTAAGGCTTGGGTCACCTAAATCTAAACCATTCATTTCAACTATAGTTATCCAATAATTAATCTCAGTTAAAGAATTTGCAATACTGGTTTGAGAAAAACATTGTTCTGGAGTATCTGAGTCAGAATTAGACACAGATGAGGAATAAATTTCAGTTAGATCATCATCATCTGAACTGGTTATACTATTGTCACTAGACAGAGTTTGTAAAATCTGTTGTTGAAGGTGTTCATCCAAAGGCATTTCATTTAATTTCTGTTTTAATTTAGCTCCACATTTATTAGCATAATGTCCTGTTGCACCACACTTGTAACAAGTAATTTGGGATCGATCTTTCCTTGGGTAAGATTTCTGCTTACCTTTAATTGTTTGTTTAGGTTTTTGATAAGACGGTTAATATTTATATTTCTCACTTGGTGGGATAAATTTGGACTACAACTTGAAGTTTTACTAGTATCTATCCGTGAAGCTTTTAATGAATGGAAAATTGCTTATTCTCATTTACCAGGACAAAAGGATATTTTTATGACCAAATCTTTGGCTCATTTTACTATCCGTTTCAGTACTCCATGGATATGGAAATGGGATTTCCAGTGTGATTATCAGAATAAGATTCCACGTCTCAAAAGAGTTTTTTTTTTTATGAGATGGTGGGATAAGGGTATGAATCCCACCTTACCAGAAACTGTCCAGAAAATTAAGGCCCATGCCCAAGCCTGCTGGGATGCTATTCCCAAAACAATTCCTAGTTAACCAGTCATTCAAAATCCTTTTTTTACATATTCAAACAGAATTACGCCAAAAATACCTGAATTTGTCAGAAACATAATTAGTCATTAAAAGTATGGATTTCATGAAGGAACAATTTCTCCAGACTATTTCCAGTGATGACACCTCCATGAAATCCGTTACTAGCAATCAAGAACAGGAAGATCCAGACCAGGATGAAAATGAATTTGCTGCTCTAGTCGGCGAATCACAGGATCCAGCAGAAGATGAACCCAACTTTGGTGATTTTTGGGATTCACTCACCAACATGATTACTGAAAAGATTGACAAGGAAAAAGATAAAAAAAGGAAAAGGCAAAGCATGAGTCTTTATCTCGTCTGCCACCAGAATAATTCATCTGGAGCGTCGGCACAAAACAACAACTAACAGTACACCTACTTTCTGTAAAAACAGATTCTTGTCTACCATCCAGCATAGAGACCAATAATTGTCTCACTCTAGTCCAAAAAAGATAAGGATGCTGAGTCAAAAGAAAATTCCCATTCAGCTTTGAGGATATGGATGATCGACTCCAACCACCAAGAATACGTCACTTGTCCTCACCTTATCTTATCTTTTCTTTTATTTTGTCTATAAAAGGGATATCCTCACCCTTGTTGAGACAGAGCTGTTTTTAGAGTTTTCTTTCAAGAATTTGTTTTCTTTTCAAGTATAATATCTAAGTGCTCTCTCTCTCTCTCTCTCTTCCTTGTAAAATTTCCCAGTTTATGATATATAAATTAAGTGTTGAAGAATTATGTTGTTTTGAAGATTCTGGTTGTAAGTATTTTCTTCTTTAGTATGTATGCCTGTAAATTTACTTGTTGATTTGATTAATGTTTTAGAATTTTATCTTGATAGTAGAAATATATATTTACAACAGCTTCAAGCTAACGATCTGTATTTACAGCCGTATCTTTCTAACTAATTAGAATTTTTTAATCAACAAATAACCAGGATCCAACAGCTGATCCAGTAGCAGATCTGCTTCTGGACGATTGCCGGCCGATCTCTACCTCAACAGTAAAACCATGGGACCATATATGTAGGAATTTAAATCTAATATAATAATAATATAAATGATAATAGTCTTGGGTTTGTGTTAAATAAGGGTAGAATAGAGTAAAGTTGAGTGGGACGTCATCCAAGTCGCGTATAGGTTAGAAGATCATAGTTGCAGTGATTGTGTATAGGTTGGAAAGATATGAAATATTTTTTTTATCTTTGCTTTTGAAAATTATAAATTATGGAATTATTAATATTTTGAAAACTATTACTTTAATGGATTAGCCAAATTAAATTTTAAATTTTAATTTAGTAATATAGTAATATAGAAATAAATTTCAAAGGGAATAATATAGTAATGTAGTAATATAGTAGGAAATAAATTTTAAAATATAGTAATATAGTAGTAATATAGTAGGGAAGAATATAGTCGTAATATAGTAGGGAATAACATAGTAATATAGTAATATAGTAATATTGTAATTTTGAAAATGCCAAATTGGCATTCGCTCTTCAATCTTTCCCTTTATAAAATTCATTCCCTTTGTAATAACCGGTGATTTTGAAAATGGCAAATTGAAATAATAACCCTTGCCTTTTTCTTTTCTTTTCTTTTTTTTGAACAATAACTCTTTTAAATATTTGGAAGGTTCCTAATTTTTATCATGAATTTTAAAAATTTGAAAGTAATTATATATGGTATGAATAATATAGTAATATAGTAAAAAAACAAATTTTAATTTTTTTAAAGGAAATAAAAATCAATGGGAGATGATTAGGTTGGAAAGATATGGAATATTTTCTTTATCTTTCTTTCTATAAACTATAAATTATGAAATTATTAATATTTTGAAAACTATTACTTTAATGGATTAGCCAAATTAATTTTTAAATTTTAATTTAGTAATATATTAATAAATTTTAAAGGGAATAATATAGTAATATAGTAGGAAATAAATTTTTAAATATAGCAATATAGTAGTAATATAGTAGTAATGTAGTAATATAGTAGGAAATAATATAGTAATATAGTAGCAATATAGTAATTTGGAAAATGCCAAACTGGCGTTAGCTCTTCAATCCTTCCCTTTATAAAATTCCTTCCCTTTATAATAACCGATGATTTTGAAAATGCCAAATTGAAATAATGACCCTTGCCTTTTTTTCTTTTTTTTTTTCCTTTTGAACAACAATTCCTTTAAATATTTGGAAGGTTCCTAATTTTTATCATGAATTTTAAAATTTTGAAAGTAATTATATATGGTATGAATAATATAGTAATATAGTAAGAAACAAATTTTAATTTTTTTGGTTCTTAATTTTTATCATGAATTTTAAAGATTTGAGAGTAGTTATATATTGTATGAATAATATAGTAATATAGTTAGAAACAAGTTTTAATTTTTTTTAAAAAAATAAAAATCAGTAGGAGAGGATCAGATTGGAAAGATATAGATTTTATTTTTTTTAATCTTTTCTTTTGAAAACTATAAATTATGGAATTATTAATATTTTGAAAACTATTACTTTAATGGATTAGTCAAATTAAATTTTAAATTTTAATTTAGTAATATAGTAATATAGTAATATAATAATAAATTTTAAAGGGAATAATATAGTAGGAAATAAATTTTAAAATAAAGTAATATAGTAGTAATATAGTAGGGAATAATATAGTACTATAGTAATTATCTAAATGGAAATTAAAATACATTTTTAATGTCATTAAAAATTATTAATTAAGTTGATAATTTATCCTAAATGTTTTTTAATTCATTTACGAGTACTTGAAAAAGAAAGAAATGTATGTAACAGAAAAAAGAAACATTTCTTGGATCCTCTTGTGGTTAGCAAAGTACACTCACACACACATGACTCTGCTACTCTGCTTCTTCTTGATTCTATATGATCAAGAAAAAAAGAAACATTCCCTTGCCCTTTTTTTCTTTTTGAACAACAATTCTTTCCCTTTATCTCAGACTCTCTCCCCAATTCTCTTCATCTTACTCACACGAATCTTCTTTTTTTTTTTTTCTTCTTCTTCTTCTTCTTCTTCTTCTTCTTCTTCTCTCTCTGTAAAAAACACCAATCCCCCAAGTCTTTGCTACCAGTATTCTCTCTCTAAAAAACACCAATCCCCCAACTCTGATATATATATATATATATAATGGACATGACCAAAAATACATATATGTACCCATCATTTGCCACCAGTATTCTCAACGAAATTTGTCGTTCCATGGATAATGGAAACGAGAATTTTTACAACAATAGAGTCATCAAAAATACATACATGTACCCCCTATCATTCGCTTTCAGTACTGTTGACGAAATCTGCTATTCCATGGACACGGAGACAGCGCCGTAGTGTCATGGATGAAGACATGGCGAGCCTCTGCCGAGCATGTCTCCTCGAGCATGAGAAATCGAGGACTGCTTGTTTCACCACAACGAAGCCAAAGCCAGTGAAGATGACTAGTGTTTCGGAGAAGGAGAAACAGCCGATCTCGGCTGAGGGCAAGCTCGCGAGCTTTTTAAACTCTTTGTTCAGGAATGGAAATTCGAAGAAGATGAAGAAGTCAAGCTCATCATCAATTGGAGGTTACGGGGATGCACGTGTGGAGAGAAAAGCAAAGCCACTCAAGCATATCTACGTGTTCATGGGCATCTTTATATTTCTGTATAAAACCTCAATGAATTTGAAATGTAAACTGTTTTTCTTTTCATATTTCTCTCTGTTTTTATTTTTTATTTTTTTTTATTATTATTTTTAAACATGGATTTTGTAAGTTTGAACTTGGAATCTAAAGCCATCATATTTAATCTCATATGGTGCGAGTACATTGGAATTTTTGTTGTTGTTGTTGCTAAAATACCAATATTTAACTTTTTCCTTAGGGAGGATTGATGTTAAAGAGGGGGGAGGACTTGAAAATGGAGTTGAGGAATGTCTCTTTTTACATGGAAGTCAGTCCTGCTTACTTTCACAAGAAATTGGATTCAGTCATTCCCCAAATGTAATAGTCATGCATGGGGAATGCATTACTAATTTCTTTAATTGTACTGCGTTTTAGTGCTCTACACTTTGGAGACTTGACTAGCACATAATGCACACATGAAGCGATATAGCTTCTAACACTTGATTAGCGTATTTCCAATTGACTAGTACATTTGTGCATGTGATTGAATCCCATTTTTTGGAAAAGTAGCGTGATTGAATAGCAGTTTTAAAAAAACACATTATTGAATTCCATTTTCAAGCCTTCCTCTTTCCTAAATATTTATATTCTTTTCCCATTTGAGTTATTTTGTTGAAAAGGTTCTATACAATTGAATGACAGTTGGAAACTCTCTTTATTTCCTTTTCCATGTGTAAGGGGCGACTCTCGAAAGAGGAAGGTTGGGTGGCTATTCTTTTTTCATTCATATAAAATTTTACCGAACTATGCTTCTTTAGTTGAATTTGAAATCTGAATGCATTTTTTGGATGAACATAGTAGTTATTTTGGTTTTATGTGGTAAAGCAAGTTGAAAAAAATTTGTCCCCAATAGCACAATGTGGCAAAGTAGCCTGAATTTTTTTTATAATAATAATGAGCAAAATTAAATTATATAAAAAAAAAACAATCACTGAGATGTGGTTTTATATAAATAAATAAACAATCACTAAGATGTGAATTCCACCTTGCCAGAAACTATTCAGAAAATTAAGGTTTATACTCAAGCCTGGTGGGATGCTATTCCCAAAACAATTCCTAGTCAACCAATCATTCAAAATCCTTTTTTTACATATTCAAACAAAATTACGCCAAAAATACTCGAATTTGTCAGAAACAAAATTAGTTATGGATTTCATGAAGCAACAATTTCTCCAGACTATTTCCAATGATGACACCTCCATGAAATCCGTTACTGGCAGTCTAGACCAGGAAGATCTAGACTATGATAAAAATGAATTTGTTGCTCTAGCCGGCGAATCACAGGATCCAGCAGAAGATGAACCCAACTTTGGTGATTTTTGGGATTCACTCACCAGCATGATTGCTGAAAAGATTGATAAGGAAAAAGATAAAAAAGAAAAAGGCAAAGCATGAGTCTTTATCTCGTCTGCCACCAGAATAATTCATCTGGAGCGTCGGTACAAAACGACAACTAACAGTACACCTACTTTTTGTAAAAGCAGTTTCTTGTCTGCCATCCAGCACAAAGACCAATAATTGTCTCACTCTAGTCCAAAGAAGATAAGGATGTTGAGTCAAAAGAAAATTTCCATTCAACTTTGAGGATATGGATGATTGACTCCAACGACCAAGGACATGCCACTAGTCCTCACCTTATCTTATCTTTTCTTTTATTTTGTCTATAAAAGGGATAACCTCACCCTTGTTGAGGCAGAGTTGTTTTTAGAGTTTTCTTTCAAGAATTTGTTTTCTTTTCAAGTATAATATCCAATTGCTCTCTCTCTCTCTCTCTCTCTCTCTCTTGTAAAATTTCCCAGTTTATGATATATAAATTAAGTGTTGAAGAATTATGTTGTTTTGAAGATTCTGGTTGTAAGTATTTTCTTCTTTAGTATGTATGCCTATAAATTTACTTGTTGATTTGATTAATGTTTTAGAATTTTATCTTGATAGTAGAAATATATATTTACAACAGCTTCAAGCTAACGATCCGTATTTATAGCCGTATCTTTCTAACTAGTTAGAATTTTTTAATCAACGAATAACCAAGATCCAACAGCAGATCCAGGAGCAAATTTGCTTCTGGGCGATTGCCGGCCGATCTCTACCTCAACAGTAAAACCATGAGACCATATATGTAGGAATTTAAATCTAATATAATAATAATATAAATGATAATAGTCTTGGGTTTGTGTTAAATAAGGGTAGAACAGAGTAAGGTTGAGTGAGACGTCATCCAAGTCGCGTATAGGTTAGAAGATCATAGTTGCAGTGATTGTGTATAGGTTGGAAAGATATGGAATATTTTTTTTATCTTTCCTTTTGAAAATTATAAATTATGGAATTATTAATATTTTGAAAACTATTACTTTAATGGATTAGCCAAATTAAATTTTAAATTTTAATTTAGTAATATAGTAATATACTAATAAATTTTAAAGGGAATAATATAGTAGGAAATAAAATTTAAAATATAGTAATATAGTAGGGAATAATATAGTAATATAGTAATTTTGAAAATGCCAAATTGGCATTGGCTCTTCAATCTTTCCCTTTATAAAATTCCTTCTCTTTATAATAACCGGTGATTTTGAAAGTGCCAAATTGAAATAATAACCGGTGATTTTGAAAATGCCAAATTGAAATAATAACCCCTGCCTTTTTCTTTTCTATTATTTTTTTTGAACAACAACTCCTTTAAATATTTGGAAGGTTCCTTATTTTTATCATGAATTTTAAAAATTTGAAAGTAATTATATATGGTATGAATAATATAGTAATATAGTAGAAACAAATTTTAATTTTTTTAAAGGAAATAAAAATCAATGGGAGATGATTAGGTTGGAAAGATATGGAATATTTTCTTTATCTTTCCTTTTGAAAACTATAACTTATGAAATTATTAATATTTTGAAAACTATTACTTTAATGGATTAGCCAAATTAAATTTTAAATTTTGATTTAGTAATATAGTAATATATTAATAAATTTAAAAGGGAATAATATAGTAATGTAGTAGGAAATAAATTTTAAAATATAGTAATATAGTAGGGAATAATATTGTAATATAGTAGTAACATAGTAATTTTGAAAATGCCAAACTGGTGTTAACTCTTCAATCCTTCCCTTTTTAAAATTCCTTCCCTTAATAACAGCCGATGATTTTGAAAATGCCAAATTGAAATAATGACCCTTACCTTTTTTTTTTTTTTTTTTTTTTTTTTTTACAACAATTCTTTTAAATATTTGGAAGGTTCCTAATTTTTATCATGAATTTTAAAAATTTGAAAGTAATTATATATGGTATGAATAATATAGTAATATAGTAAGAAACAAATTTTAATTTTTTTAAAGGAAATAAAAATAAGTGGGAGATGATTAAGTTGGAAAGACATGGAATTTTTTTTTTTTTTTTATTTTTTCTTTTGAAAACTATAAATTATTGAATTATTAATATTTTGAAAACTATTACTTTAATGGATTAGCCAAATTAAATTTTAAATTTTAATTTAGTAATATAGTAATATAATAATAAATTTTATAGGGAATAATATAGTAGGAAATAAATTTAAAATATAGTAATATAGTAGTAATATAGTAGGGAATAATATAGTAGTAATATAGTAGGGAATAATATAGTAGTAATATAGTAGGGAATAATATAGTAGTAATATAGTAGGGAATAATATAGTAGTAATATAGTAGGGAATAATATAGTAGTAATATAGTAGGGAATAATATAGTAGTAATATAGTAGGGAATAATATAGTAGTAATATAGTAGGGAATAATATAGTAGTAATATAGTAGGGAATAATATAGTAATATAGTAATTTTGAAAATGCCAAATTGGCATTGGCTCTTCAATCTTTCCCTTTATAAAATTCCTTCTCTTTATAATAACCGGTGATTTTGAAAGTGCCAAATTGAAATAATAACCGGTGATTTTGAAAATGCCAAATTGAAATAATAACCCCTGCCTTTTTCTTTTCTATTATTTTTTTTGAACAACAACTCCTTTAAATATTTGGAAGGTTCCTTATTTTTATCATGAATTTTAAAAATTTGAAAGTAATTATATATGGTATGAATAATATAGTAATATAGTAGAAACAAATTTTAATTTTTTTAAAGGAAATAAAAATCAATGGGAGATGATTAGGTTGGAAAGATATGGAATATTTTCTTTATCTTTCCTTTTGAAAACTATAAATTATGAAATTATTAAGAAAACTATAAATTATGGAATTATTAATATTTTGAAAACTATTACTTTAATGGATTAGCCAAATTAAATTTTAAATTTTAATTTAGTAATGTAGGAATATAATAATATATTAATAAATTTTAAAGGGAATAATATAGTAGGAAATAAATTTTAAAATATAGTAATATAGTAATCATCTGAATTGAAATTAAAATACATTTTTAATATCATTAAAAATTATTAATTGAGTTCATAATTTATCCTAAATATTTTTTTAATTCATTTACGAGTACTTGAAAAAGAAAGAAATGTATGTAACAAGAAAAAGAAACATTTTTTGGATCCTCTTGTGGTTAGTAGAGTACACTCACACGCACACGACTCTGCTGCTTTGCTTCTTCTTGATTCTATATGATCAAGAAAAAAAGAAACATTCCCTTGCCTTTTTTTGTTTTGAACAACAACTCCTTCCCTTTTTAAAGTCAAACTCTCTCCCCAATTCTCTTCATCTTACTCTCATGAATCTTCTTCTTCTTCTTCTTTTTCTTCTTCTCTCTCTGTAAAAAACACCAATCCCCCAACTCTGATATATATATATATATATATAATGGACATGACCAAAAATACATATATATACCCATCATTTGCTGCCAGTATTCTCGACGAAATTTGTCATTCCATGGATGGCAGGAACGAGAATTTTTACGACAATAGAGTCATCAAAAATACATACATATAACCCCTATCATTCGCTTCCGGTACTGTTGATGAAATCTGCTATTCCATGGACGGCGGGAACGAGAAACAGAGGTAGAGCTGTAGTGTCATGGATGAAGACATGGCGAGCCTCCGTTGAGCATGTCTCCTCCAGCACAAGAAATCGAGGATTGCTTGTTTCACCACAACAAAGCCAAAGCCAGTGAAGACGACTAGTGTTTCGGAGAAGGAGAAACAGCCGATCTCGGCTGGGGGTAAGCTCGCGAGCTTTTTAAGCTCTCTGTTCAGGAATGGAAATTCGAAGAAGATGAAAAACTCAAACTCATCATCAACTGGAGGTTACGGGAATGCACGTGTGGAGAGAAAAGCAAAGTCCACTCAAGCATCTACTTGTTCATGGACATCTTCATATTTCTGTATAAAACCTTAATGAATTTGAAATGTAAATTATTTTTCTTTTCATATTTCCTTATCTCTATTTTATTTATTATTATTATTATTATTATTATTATTATTATGATTATTATTATTATTATTATTATTATTATTATTTTTAAACATGGATTTTGTAAGTTTGAACTTGGAATCTAAAGCCATCATATTTAATCTCATATGATGCGAGTACATTGGGATTTTTTGTTGTTGTTGTTGTTGCTAAAATACCAATATTTAACTTTTTCCTTAGGGAGGATTGATGTTAAAGAGGGGGGAGGACTTGAAAATGGAGTTGAGGACTATCTTTTTTTACATGGAAGTCAGTCCTGCTCACTTTCACAAGAAATTGGATTAAGTCATTCCCCAAATGTAACAGTCATGCATGGGGAATGCATTACTAATTTCTTTAATTGTACTACGTGTTAGTGCTCTACACTTTGGAGACTTGACTAGCACATAATGCACACATGAAGCAATATAGCTTCTAACACTTGATAGCGCATTCCCAATTGGCTGGTGCATTTGTGCATGTGATTGAATCCCATTTTTTGGAAAAGTAGCGTGATTGAATAACAGTTTTAAAAAAACACATTACTGAATTCCATTTTCAAGCCTTCCGTTTTCCTAAATATTTATATTCTTTTCCCATTTGAGTCATTTTGTTGAAAAGGTTCTATACAATTGAATGACAGTTGGAAACTCTCTTTATTTCCTTTTCCATGTGTAAGGGGCAACTCTCGAAAGAGGAAGGTTGGGTGGCCATTCTTTTTTCATTCATGTAAAATTTTACCGAACTGTGCTTCTTTAGTTGAATTTGAAATCTGAATGCATTTTTTGGATGAACATAGTAGTTATTTTGGTTTTATGTGGTAAAGCAAGTTGAAAAAAATTTGTCCCCAATAGCACAATGTGGCAGAGTAGCCTGAATTTTTTTTTTTATAGTAATAATGAGCAAAATTAAATTATAAAAAAATAAAAATAAACAATCACTGAGATGTGGTTTTATATAAATAAATAAATGATCACTAAGATGTGCTCTCAAGTTCAAATTTTGGAAAGATTGGCCAAGAAAAGTGATATAACTTAACAGAATTTATAGTAAAAAAAATAAATAAATAAACAAAAGTTTCTATAATTGAAAATATAATAAATTCAAGACTCTTAAACAACTAACGAATTTATACCAAAGAAAATAAACAAATTCAAAACTTTTAAACAATTATAGAATTTATTTTAAAACAAAACAGAATTTATACCCAAAAATAAATAAAAATAATAAACAATCATTAAGAATATTTAAAACATAAACAAACCTATTAATTCTAGTTATTTTTTTAAAATAGAATTTATAGTTTAGAATAATAGTGAACAAAATTAAACTATAAAAATAAATAAATAAACAATCACTAAGATGTGCTCTCAAGTTTAAATTTTGAAAAGATTGTCTAATAAGAGTGATATTACTTAACAATTATAGAATTTATAGTAAAAATAAATAACTAAATAAACAAAAGCTTCTATGACCAAGAATAAAATAAATTCAAGGCTCTTAAACAGCCAAAGTTTATACCAAAGAAAATAAAAAATAAAAAAAAACAAATTCAAAATTCTTAAACAATTACAAAATTTATTCCCAAAAAAAAAAGAAAAAAGAATTTATACCAAAAAAATAAAAACAATAAACAATCATTGAAAATATTTAAAACATAAACAAACCTATTAATTCTAGTTATTTTTCAAAAGAAAATTTATAGTTTAGATTGATCTTTTATATGGTAAAAAAAAAAAAATGAAATAAATTTTCATAAAAATATGAGCCTAAAATTCACATCATAATATATACATGTCATACGATTTTTTATTTATTGTTTTTCAGTTAACATAACCAACAAATTAAAAATTTGTAGGAATTTAAATATAATATGATAATAATATAAATGATAATATTCCTGGGTTTGTGCTAAATACAGGTAGAATAGAGTAAGGTTGAGTAAGATGTCATCCAAGTCGCGTATAGGTTAGAAGACCATAGCTGCAGTGATTGCGTATAGGCCAATTCCCTAGTAAAACGTTGACAGACGTGCTTAGCTTATAACTCTGTGTCAAGCACCTTATTTGGTATCAGAGCCAAGTTTATTATTGTTGGTATTATTTTTATATTTTATTTAAATTATGCATATATGGTCACAATACATTTATTATGTCTTCCATTGAACCTTCAGATATAACAACAGTAGCCAATACAGTAGCTTCTACATCAGAAACAACAGAACTAGTTGCATATTAGGATGTCAAGGAAGCCTTAGACAAGTGGACTATCCCAAATGTAAAACCAGATACAATTTATAAAATTGGAACATTTGATTTTTCTAGTAAAAAGATAATCAAAACTTTTGAACATGTAGTACCACTACAAAATAATGATGAAATAAGTAAATTACTTCATATCCAAGATTTAGAACCTTTCTTCAAAAAATATAAATACATCCACATAGGATTAGTACAGATAGCTTTTAAACCTTTGATCCTATCAGGGCAAAATACTAGTATTTAGTGTACCCTACGAGATGGAAGGTGTCTTGATTGGAAAGCTTCTCTTATGGAAGCCATAGAAACCAACTTATCACATGGACCAGTATATTTTAATATATATCCAAATTTAAGTGTTGCCCTCATGGATCTGAACTTATCAGAAGTATTAGAACTAAGAGTTCTTACTCATGGCTATCAATATTTACCAGGAACACCCCCTTTATCTGCAATTTTTAAGATTCACTTATACTCGAAAACAAAGTAAATTAGGACATACTGTCTTAATTGACACTAATCTTTTCAGTAGCCAAGAAGCTGTTCCAAGAATGATCCTTC